CTGTCAGACGCGTTGAGATGTGTGGAGAAGAGGCAGGGAAGAGAGGGAGAGGAAGGCCTAAACAGACATGGGTTAGGGAAGTCAGAAGGGATATGCTTCTTCTTGGATTGGATGAGGGTATGGCTTTGGAGAGAGCAAAATGGAGGGCGGGTATTCGTGTGGAGGAGTGATATCATGTATCGATTCATGTTAGCCGACCCCAATATCGTTTGGGACTAAGGCTTGATTGTTGTTGTCTCACATGGGACGTCAAAAAATTCAAAAAAAAGAACTCCCAAAAGTATATATTGTCTATACTGAGATCTTCAAAATTTGTAATATGTGTTTTGTTAAACTTCTGATATTAATACTTCACATTATTTATTTATGATTTTCTTTTTTGCTATTAAAATTACTATTTTAATTCTATATCGATATTATTAGATGCGTTTATATATTAATATTTATAATCTCTACAATCTTATAAGCATGAGTGAAGGTTAGGGGTAAATTGCCTTTAAAAAAATGTTGGTGGTATAGGTATGCAACATTCACATGTACCATAAAGCTTTATCAATATTTGACCTGCTATAGCATTTTATTTTCTCTTTTATGCCCAAGCTCCGTTAGAGACTTAGAGTGAAACCATTTCGGTTTAATTCATTCAATGATAATTAGTAGGTTTATTGAATCTGGATGACCCATACCTTGCCTTTCCGTCTTCATTAAATTGTTGAGCAGTAACATTTAGATTTGTAGCAACTTTATACGTAATGAATAAGATGCTCAAAAAATTTCATCAAAACATTCCACCGGGAACCACCCAAATGGCGACGACCGGACAGAGCTTCCATTATAAGGACTTATTTATTTATTTTTTGAAAGTTCGAGGACCTATTTGACCTTTTCCCCAAGAAAAACTAATATAAGAAGTTTAATAAGCACACAGTTTAATATTCTACGTGTGTGTTGCACAAGATGATGTTTATAGATATTACTAGTTATTATACGCGCGTTGCGCGATTGGGTGAATGCCCAATGTATTTTTTTTAATTCCATACTGTATTGTGAATTTAAAATAATTTTGAGATTTATCATTTAACATTTAGAAGGTGAGATTCACTTTGTGAAATAATCTCTTCATTTATATCTTTGATCAATGTTTTTTTACAATGACATACTTTTCGACTTTATTTTATTTCGTTTAATATTTCTGAATTTCACTTTTAACAAGGTTGTTCTGCTCAACGTAGCACATACAATGCATCCATATAAAAAAAAGGATGTAGTACGCTATGCATCCATATAGAACTAACAATATTAACCTAGTTCTCTATCTCGGTCTAAAGGAAAAATTGTAGAGCGGTGACTAATGTATTTAATGAATCTTACCGGCTTACGCATAATTTGACCTGGCTAGTGGTCATTAATAGTAGCAATTTAATAGTAGCATTTTGCAAACTCAATGAAAATCAAAACTCATGTAAATCTTTATCTTCTCCTTTCGGAATGAAATTACCGATCCCACCAAAATTTACGCATAGATTGCAAAAATGATTTCTACCGAACTACCATTTGTTATTAACCTCTTGTGGTCGAAATGATTTGGCTACATCACTTTGTTAGGAGTTATTTTGTTCATCTTATTTTTATTTCTTGTTGTTTATTCTTATTTCAAAGTGGTATTTTTAATTTTTAGTCATCCTTTTGCTAATTGGAATTTACGTTTCTTCATTGTGTTCTTTTTAGATTGCTATTCATTATCTATCGTGAATGCTAATATGGGGTATTAACTTCTAATACAATAATAACTAGATTTCCATAGTTACATTCACCCCACCCCCCTACAACACTTGAATAATTCATCCCAAGAAAAACTTAATCTTACTGCGTAATTGAAAACTTTTCACCATTTGATAAGTGAGATTTAAATATTCATTGTGATGGTACGAAAGTGATATTTTAAGTCATTATTCGATCTATTTTAAACTTTTTGAATTTTTTTTTAAAGATGTTTTTTGAAAATCGTTGTGTAACAAGTAAATATTTCTGCGTTTTTGAAAATATGAAACTTTTTTAAAATTGTTTCACATAAATACACATCTTAAGGTCGGTGTTGACCCAAAAGGCACTTGATCCTATAAAATTAAGCCTGCTTGGGGCTTCAGTATAATGATGATGATGATGACGACGACGACGATGATGATGGTGATGATCATGATCATGATGATGATATAATAATAATAACAACAATGTAATAATTAATTGTGTCTGGACTTTTCTGATCTGATGTGTATTTTTATGATCTAATATAGTCTGAATCTTTCTAATGTATGATCTGGTATGATTTTTCTAATGTGATACAGCCTTTATTTTTTCGATTTGATCTGATCTGAATAAAATAAGAATAAACAACAAGAAATAAAAATAAGATGAACAAAATAACTCCTAACAAAGTGATGTAGCCAAATCATTTCGACCACAAGAGGTTAATAACAAATGGTAGTTCGGTAGAAATCATTTTTGCAATCTATGCGTAAATTTTGGTGGGATCGGTAATTTCATTCCGAAAGGAGAAGATAAAGATTTACATGAGTTTTGATTTTCATTGAGTTTGCAAAATGCTACTATTAAATTGCTACTATTAATGACCACTAGCCAGGTCAAATTATGCGTAAGCCGGTAAGATTCATTAAATACATTAGTCACCGCTCTACAATTTTTCCTTTAGACCGAGATAGAGAACTAGGTTAATATTGTTAGTTCTATATGGATGCATAGCGTACTACATCCTTTGTTTTATATGGATGCATTGTATGTGCTACGTTGAGCAGAACAACCTTGTTAAAAGTGAAATTCAGAAATATTAAACGAAATAAAATAAAGTCGAAAAGTATGTCATTGTAAAAAAACATTGATCAAAGATATAAATGAAGAGATTATTTCACAAAGTGAATCTCACCTTCTAAATGTTAAATGATAAATCTCAAAATTATTTTTAATTCACAATATAGTATGGAATTAAAAAAAATACATTGGGCATTCACCCAATCACGCAACGCGCGTATAATAACTAGTAATATCTATAAACATCATCTTGTGTAACACACACATAGAATATTAAACTGTGTGCTTATTAAACTTCTTATATTAGTTTTTCTTGGGGAAAAGGTCAAATAGGTCCTCGAACTTTCAAAAAATAAATAAATAAGTCCTTATAATGGAAGCTCTGTCCGGTCGTCGCCATTTGGGTGGTTCCCGGTGGAATGTTTTGATGAAATTTTTTGAGCATCTTATTCATTAAATCTAGTTTACTCATACCAAATTTCAACTAAAATTTCAATCTGGAAGGCATTCAAATGAATTCTTTAAGATAAATGCACAGTTAAAAGCGCAATTATCTTCAATAATTAATTTGAATATGTTCCCGATTGAAGTTTTAGCTGAAATTTAGTATGAGTAAACTAGACTTAATGAAAAAGATGTTCAAAAAATTTCATAAAAAAATTCCACCAGAAACCGCCCCAAATGGCGACGGCCGAACAGAGCCTCCTTTATAAGGACTATTTGACCCTTTTCCCTGTTTTTTTCATGAATAAAATTACTCAGTTTTCATTTCCAAATTGTCATCAACCCCCAAACAACAAACAAATTACAAAACCCTTGCGAATGTACAGTTAAAACATAATGTCATAACAAACACGGGTAACTAAACCACTACACACTAGAAAGGACGTAAACAAAATTTTTCAAACACAACTAATTCCCTCCATCCTCCCAAATTAGGTGTTGTTGATAACAGATCAATCCAAGAACGTATGTAAAATAGATTGGTAGCTAAGCTACCCCCATTTGCAAATATGTTGATGCTTTTCCCCTCATGGCTGTATATGTGCTTTGGCTAAACTTTCAGCAACAAGCTTGACAGCCTGAATAACTGAGGTTGTATTTGTTGTTATTATATTAATGGTCACTCATTCATGTCATAGAATATAATATCTATAGTTACATTTACATGTTGACTTTATAATATCTGCATTTTACACCCCATACAACGCACGGGTGAAATGCTTTATAGTAAATGCTAAATTCCCAATAGCTGAAATATAAACACTGCTCCCCCAATGTTTCATTTGTCGTCTTCTTCAAACCAATTAGCCAAACATACCAGCCGATTACAGAACTTCAATTATGCCATTTTGACCAATCGAATCGGCTATTTCTAATCAAAGAAACTAAAATATTGGCAGATTAGACATTTTCCAAACAAGACCCAAGTCTAGCGACAAGTGCTGGACTCGGGCCGGGCGGCCCGACCCGGAACCGGCCCGGTCACTGTTTGGCCCGGCCCGGCCCGGCCCGGGGCCCGGTGGGTCCGGCGGTTCGGTTTGGCCCGGCCCGGCTGCTGGGCGGTCCGGGCTCGGGCCCAGATTTTGGTGAACCGGTCCGGGCCAGAAATTAATTTTTTTTTTTTGAATTTTTTTAAGTTTTATGTTGGATTAGGTGTTTTGGCCCATTTGAGGTGGTTTGGGATGGTTTGGGGTTGAGGGGGAGGGGTAGGGGGTTAAATAGGAGTGGGAAAAATAATAATGTGGACCGGGTGGCCCGACCCGGAACCGGCCCGGAACCGGCCAACCCTGGTTCGGGCTCGGGCCTCCAAAAACTGAACCGAGGCCCGGCCGGGCCCAAGCCCGAACCGGGCCCGAGTCCACCACTATCTAGCGTTTTATCAATAACATTATATTTATAGCTCAATTTACTTTCCTATCATACTCTTCAACTAGTTAGTGGACATGAGGGTGCGTATTTTATTTATCACAAACCATGACTAATGACATTTACTTTAATTTTGCATCTCTCCCAAGGCTAAATAGCATGTTACGAATTTTTTCATTGTACTAAATAATGTTGTCATTAAAAATTTATAAATCGTTTTTGGTGTTATTCGTCTCCAAATGATAAAAAAGTTTGGCCGTAAATCAAAATAGGTATGATAAATTGCAATTTCCAAATGACACAGGAGTAATTGAATTGCAAGCTGCATCATGATCATGCATGAATTAAAACTAAAAGAGCAATAAACCATGAATAGAAAATATTCAAAAAACGCATCAATTTAAAGGCTGAAACTTTTCAAAGTTAACAAAATCAAACTCATTTGCAAAGGCATGCATAATGCATAGGTTCCATCCAAAATAAGCATGGTAGAAAGACTGTGCTCAATACTCATCAGCCTCCTTGTACGAACCAAGGGAAGAATCATAACCGGGTTCAGGACTCCGGTAACTTTCATTTCTTATATGAATCTTCAATCTGCCATTCAGAAATAACATCTTCTCAAAGCCACATGAGAAAATATAAACATCATTTATTTCATGTGAATGATAGGTTCCATCTCAAATAGGCATGGTAGACGGACTGGGGTACTCAATACTCATCAACCTCGTAAAAACCTAGTGTAGAATCAAAACCACGTTTTGGACTCCAGTAATGACTTTCATTTCTTATAAGGATCTTCAATCTGCCATTCAGAAAAAAACATCTTCTCAAAGTCACATAGGAATATATAAACATCATTTATTCCATTCTAATTATTGGTGAAAGTCCCATGTACATTGTACAATGTTGAAACCCACCAGATTTAACATTAAATATTGACATCCAGTGCTCCAATAAACAAAAACATTGTCATGAAATGGGGAACACTCACAGTAGGCAAACTCAAATAAAAAATGACTGATTAGTGTAAAACTAACTTTTTATCTGTCAACCATAACTTCCCAAGTCCCAACAGACGACTACTCTTCAGTGTTTATAGATCCAAGAAAATGCATACCAATAAAAGTATTTGTTTGGTAGGGGGGCTCTGGAGGGAGGGAAGGGCAGGGTCATATATACTCCGATCAGATTATTCTTATTTTAGAAAGTGGTAAGAACATAAAGACTGAAAACTGCTTAGTACTAATAGAGATTATCTAGCATAACAAACGTAAATCCTTCCCTCCATAATCACATCAAATCAAACCTTTCCTAAGGAAATGATTGGTTCAACCAGAGTAGAGGTGAGACTGTGAGAGGGTCCAAGAACCTAATTCTTAAGTCGTCTGAAATGAATAATTTCACGTCCCAGCAAACGCAACATAACATTATTTATGAGTCAAATAAAGTATAACGTTAACAATTACTAAAAAAAGATTATCCTCAATAATTGCCAGAAAATTCAACAGTACTCCGTATAATGTTTCAAATTTCCAAGTTAGCAACATAACATAATGAGTCTGTAGTGCAATTTAAATATTTCCCTATCATTGAACCATTTAGGTGTAAACAAAAACAGAAAACATAAGTTTTCAGCTTCACAAGCATCATAAAAATGAAGACTAACGAGTGATAGTTCTGACCTTGTAATAGTCCTCTTTTTTATTTGTTTTCTCTTCCTCTTCACACCTCCTGTTGATGTTGAGACGGGTTTACTAGTATTGCCACGATCATCGAGGCGGTAGAGGCTTCCAGGACAAACTTGAGAAGAAATGACTATGAGGCCATCAAATGCGACCTGCTTCACTAAATTGCTCTCAATATCAACCCAAAAAAAACCATCGTCGCGCTGCAGAATAACTTTCTTTTTATTCTTCATGTAAGCTACAAGTTTGGGTGACTCAAAATAGGGAAGGTGAAACGAAAACAATTTCTCCCAAGGGTTTTCTGCTCCATCTTCTTGCAACACCCATCCATCAAAGTCACACCCCGAGCTTGTTAAGTAACTATAGCTCAAAATTAATAACCCACTAATAGCATCCAAATACATTTCAAATATCTCTTTAGAGGAGGATATGGGAGGAATAGGGATGTGGCCATATTCTTCGGTAACAAGATCTAAAGTGATAATCATTTCACATGCATACCAGTGCAATTTCCCATTCACACAAAACCCATTAACACGATTAAGACCAATAAAATTATCAGGACAATCCTTAATTCTCTTCCAAGAACCCAACTTTAAGCTGTAAACAAGAGTTCTACAAACATACTTTCCACCACGAGAATTTGTGTCTAGCCTAACAACTTTGTAGTCATCAGAAACATGATCGTACCCAAGACCTGCAGCCGCAAAAGTGAAAGTAGAGCAATCAGGCGGGGGCAACTGATGGCAGTCTCGAGTTAACGTGTTCCAAACTGCCCAAATCTTGTTACGGTCATAAGTAGAAATAAGAATTAAACCATTGCATGAGTTAACCGGAAGACTCTGTATGCGAGGCACGCCAAGACGAACCAATTGCTTCACTGGAATTACTTCAATCATTTGGCCGTCATCGTTCAAGTCATCCGCGAATTCTAGTGAGTCAAAGTTTATCAGATAAAACGGTGGTGAACCAGAGTCTTTTTTTATGAGAAGAGTGCTTGAAGAGATTTGATTTTGGGTGTGGGCTTTGACGAAAGATGGGTCATCAATGAGGCGGCACCATTCCTTGCAAACACTTCTGAAGCGGAAAAGGGAATCTGCAGGCAGGGAAAGAAGTATTTGGTGGTAGAGTTGAGAGGGGATGTCGGACATTTTCGCAGCAATTGAGAGTCCTGAATGGGTTTTGGATTAGGGTTTACAGTTTTGAAAGTTGCAAGAGAAAGTCGAAACCTTTACAAAGAAACAAAGAGGATATTGAACCGCCAATTCTATGATGTTGGGAGGGGGTGTTCCCGCCAAAGCTTCCAATGAGAAGCGGGCGGTGAGTGTTGGACTCTCAGCTATTGTGAAAATAGGAATGAAAATACTCCTCGTTGGTTTGTTGGTACTTGGTGAGTTGCAAGAGCTTTTGATTAAAAAAATCACTTTTTGAAGTTGGTTTGGAAAAAAAAATAGTACTGCGTATTAAAACTTAGAAGTTGATAACGTTTGAAAAAAAGATTTTTAGAATTGAATGTTAGATAGTGTTTGATAAAATATGTGTTTTTTTATGTAATAAAAAATGTATAAAACATGAATCGGAAGATGATCGCCCCCCTCCTGAACAACCGCCGATCCAGGAAGATGATATTGGATGGATTGCTTTCTTTCCGGTGGCTGGTCAAACCGGAACAATCTCTGCACTTGCCTCCTTATCGGTGGCTGGAAAAAAAGGCAAGTTCAAGAATTCCTTTTCGGTGGCTGGTCAAGCCGAACCCATTTTGAGTAGCATGAGCAGTCACACTGCGGTACGAGTCTATATTGTTGTAGAGTTAGCGAACATGAGTGCTTTTATATGGCGTCTTTGTTCTTTGTCTCACCCTAGTGGAGTATTGAACGTTATGATTGTAATGCTTCGACTTTTAGTTGTTATGTTTCTTGTTAAAATCTGATTATCATCAATAAAATGGTTATTTGGTTTTTAAAAAAAATGTATAAAACAATTTCTAACTTTTAGCTTTTAAGTATTCATCAATTCAAACAGAATTAATCACTTGAAAATGCTTTATTCGTCTTTTTTTATTACACAATTTAACACGTGAAATCCAAAATTACATATTTGATTAGAAAGTTGACTAATAAGCTTGATAAGTTGTAACATATAGTCACCAAACAAGTTCTTAAATTCTCAAAATAGGAGTGACGCTTCTTAAGTTCTTAAGCTACTATTTCCCTTGTAGTGCTTTACAAGTTTAGTACGAGTTTCTTTTTTATAATAATAAAATATACTTGTAAAAAATTAAATTTAAAAGTGTATAATATAACAAATACTGGTCTTAATCATCTTCCAACTCTTTCATCTCCGATTTCCGGAAAAATATGTCAACCTCCTAAAATAATCTGATAGCAATTTTGAGAAACAAAATTTGATATTTTCATAGACTAAAATGTCATCTTCATGACCATTAAAAGAAAGTGACAATTTTATAAAAGATGACATTTTTCAGCGTTAAGGGTGGAGGATGCAGAGGTCGATATATATTTAATAATTTTCAGGTATTTTTTTAAAGTTTTTTGTATTGTTTTGTACAATGTAATTTTTATCGAGTAAAAGGTCAGTTTGGTCCCCAAAGTTGCATAAAAGGGGTCAAATAAGTTCTTATATAGGAGATTCTATCCGGCCATCGCCATTTAGGGCGGTTCCCGATTGAATTTTTTGATTACTTTTTTTTTATCATCTTATTTATGAAGTCTAGTTCACCCATTCCAAATTTTAGATAAAAATTGAATCGGGAAGACATGCAAATGAATTCTTGGAGATAACGGTGTCGTTAAAAGCGCAATTATCTTCACGAATTCATTTGAATGCCTTCCCGATTGAATTTTTTGCTGAAACTTGGTACGAGTAAACTAGATTTGATGAATAAGAGGCTCAAAAATTTTATCAAAAAATTTCAATGGGAGCCACCTCAAATGGCACATCCGGACAAAATCTTCTATATAAGGACTTATTTGACCCTTTTTTGCAACTTCGAGGACTAAACTGACCCTTTACTCAATCTTTATTTGTTTATTTTGTGTTTATTTTTATTTACTTTTAATCGTTTTCATTATGAATATATATATATAGAGGGTTGTTCGAGTCAGGAGGCCTGACCGGACTGCCCCGTGCGGCCTTCCTCTTTTGGGGGCCTTCCCGGTGGAATGTTTTGATGAAATGTTTTGAGCATGTTCCTCATCAAGTCTAGTTTATCCATACCAAATTTCAGCTCAAAATTCGACCGGGAAGGCAGTCAAATAAATTATTGAAACATACTGCACTTTATATATGCACAGAATGCCCAGTATGTTTCAAGAATTCATTTGACTGCCTTCCCGATCGAATTTTGAGCTGAAATTTGGTATGGATAAACTAGACTTGATGAGGAACATGGTCAAACAATTTCATCAAAAAATTCCAACGTGAAGACCCCCAAAAGGGGAAGGCCGCACGGGGCTTCCGGTCAGGCCTTCCTGACTCGAACGGGACTCTCTCTCTCTCTATATATATATAGTTATGTATATATATATATAACTTTATTATAAATACAAATCTAACTTTATTATTAATAAATAAAATATGTCTATAAAAAAACTAACTTTTTTAAAATATGTCTATTACGGATTTGATGGAGTATATGGCCTCAGGACCCCCGGCCCATAGACTCCTACTTCTTCTACATAGGCCCAACGAGCCCAGTAAGCACCCAAGATCCAAACACGGCGGCCCAAGTGTCAAGAAGCCCACGACGCCCATATAGACGCCTTTCGGCCTCCTTGGCCGAGGGCTCCAAAATCCACAGGGCAGCCAGATTTAAGCATACAAAGCTACTGGGAGAAAACGGCATAAAAACGATAGCCCTCGGCTACTGGATGCCCTCGGCATACATAGAGCCTTCGGCTGCCCATCACCCTTCGGCCATATGTTACTAGACGAAGAGTCTACGCTCCACGAAGCTTTCTTTGGAGACAAGCAACCACTGCATTCAATGCGATGTCACGTCCAACCACCGCATTCAATGCGGTGCACATGCCATTGCCTTTGCCACCCCGATTGAGGTGACCCTCGGCCGCCAAATTATTGACACATGTACTCTCGTCGCCTTTATGGCTGCTACAAATAGCACCCATTTTCCCCATTGTAAGACACACTGAGTTCATTTAATAAAATCAACTCTCTCTCCTACTTGTTTGCTCTGACTTCTATCTAAGTTATTTCCGCAATAACCCTCGGATAAGCTACCCCCGGGTACGCTATCCATCAGAATTGTAGGAAAGGGGGCATATATTACTCACTAGCGTGTGTACCCGTACACTAGATGGTAAGATACATGTTAAAGATTTGTAAATTATAGAGATTTTGAAATGTATGTGAATTCATCAATTGGAATTTAATAGAAAATTCAATTGACTATGGATAGAGAGTTGTTAAAATAAGCCAAAGTTAGTTGGGCAAGCTTATTTCATCTCATTTCATAATGAGTTAAAGTTGTCATTTTGTGTGTCAATCTGTACATGTTATAGGTAAAGTAGGTTTGGCCATGGAGGTTGCGAGTTGGCCAATATACAAACATCTACTTCTTACTTTAATTTCTTTAATGTTAATCATTTACTACCGAAATAGATCATTTTCAATCATACACTTATTATTTTACAACATTTGCTAAACTATTGTTTCTATAATATTTATTCAAATAAATTACTCCAAAATATTTTTATTCATGTTCTCAAATGTGTGTATTATAGTTGAACATATTTTTTAACAATGAGTAGTCATTATTTACACATATTTACTCCAAAGATTTAATTGTATCTTTGTTTTTGTATATATGATCCGTGCTTTATCTATATACCATTTAGTAATTATCAAATTAAGTATTACAGATTTAATAACATTTTAAATTAAACTTATCAATTATTGTTCACTTACTATATTGAGTTATTATATAAAGAGAACTTAGATCAAATGACAATAGGTGGAGAAATATGATAATGAACATGTAACGTTTCACGTCGGTTATTTATACCGTTTCACGTCGATTTTTAAAATGACGAGGAATGTCGTGACGTCAGTGGCGGACCCAGAAAGTCGGAACCATGGGGTCCCTACCCTTGTGTATCTCTAATTAATAAAAGATTGATAAAAATATTAAAGAAGCATGACACTTCATAGTTAACGTACACCGCATCAAAACATTAAAGTATTATGAAGCAAAAAATTACGGGATCAACTTCCAAAGATACACAAAATCAACATGGTGTTCAGGTAGATTATCAGTTAAATTACCTGCACTTTCAGTAATTACTTGATCCAATTCTTCATTTATTAATGGCAAATCATTTGAATGAACACCTGAACTACTATCGGACTCTAAATCTCTTTAAAATTTAGAAATATCTTTTCATCCTAAATCATATAATATTGAAAATAAAGTTTATAATTACAAATATATTAATTTAATCTTAACATTTTTTTTGCAAAAATTTAATCTTAACATTTAAAGAAGCTTTTTAATTAATCCCAAAAAGTAGATATGGAAATTCAAAAAGAAACTAGTCGTTTCTACTTATTATATAATAATTAATAAAAATCGTTTTGAACCAAACAAAAGAAAGAGCAAGGAGGAATTCGAACATGGTACCTCAAGTGAAATGTAAAACATTGAACCCGCGCTTGCTCCCACCCGCGCTAGTTTCTTTTTGAATTTCCATATCTATTTCTTGGGATTAATTAAAAAGTTTTCTTTAAATGTTAAGAGCAGGGAGGAATTTGAACATGGTACCTCAAGTGAAATGTAAAACATTGAACCCGCGCTTGCTCCCACCCTGCCACTACGCTAGTTTGTATCTTTGCTCGTTTTGATTTTATATATACACTTTCTAGTTAATTTTATATAAAATATACATAATATATTGGTAATATTTTTGAAGTTGACGGGGTCCCGGGACCCCGTGGGACCCTTACTAGGTCCGCCTCTGCGTGACGTTATAGGTCATAATATATTATGTCAGTTACTGAACCGACGTAATAGATATGTTACCACGTCCGTTATTTTTTAGAACCGACGTAATAAGTACCCGTTTTTTCTAATAACTGACCTACCACGTCAATTATGGTGTAAAACCGACGTCAAAAGCTTTAATAAAAAATAAAAAAAATACATATAACGTCAGTTTTTATAGAAACCGACGTTATATGTACTTTAAAAAAACAAAAAAAAAATGTTAGCTATTGACATAGCCCCTTGATAGAATATATCAGAAGTGATAGAATGTATGTTTTTTACTATACGAACATAATACAAAATCCATCTGTAAAGACAATGTAGGTACAGATACAAATAACAATTCGCCTGCTACATCAAAAGGGACTGCTCCTTCCTAAACTACTTCTTAATGCTGAAAGACTAGACTTTCGGTGTCTCAATTAAGTAGTTCCAACCATTGTCATGTAGCTACAATATAGCACCTATAAAAAAGGGATAAAAGTGAAGTTTGGTTAGATGTTGTATCACACAAACTGAAATGTATGAATACATAACACACACAATTCAAAAATACTCTAAAATTACTCTATAATAATTAAAACAACTAAAATAAAACAACATCCCAACTCCAAGAACTGAACTGTCCAAGTTAAAAGTTAAAACAACATGTCCAACTCCCGGAATTGAACTGGACTCTCAACTTACTTTAATATTAAAACAACTCAAATAAAACAAATGTCATATTTAAATAACATTAAAAAACAGAACTGTCGAAGTTCCAAAATTGAGTTCCCTTCATAATATAAATAGAGTATCTCTTGATAGAATTCCCCAAGAACTAATCAGAACAGAATCTCTTTCTTTTTTGGTTTTTTTAAGGAGGCTGGTGTGTTCTTACCAAAACAGAATCAAAACCGAATCTCAGTCTCTTCATTATGGTTGTGTCTGCTATGTCCCTCTCTCATGCTGTTTCATTGCCAAATGCATAAAGACCTCCTATGTTGAACTCATTCTGGAAATAAAAAAACAAAGAAATGTATGCTAACAATGATCTAATGTTCTCCTTCTGCCAGAACTTACCACAAGATGCCCAACTCTTTGATAATTTTAGCTTCTGCTTCTTAATGCTGAAAAAGCCAGACTTTTGGTTTCCCGATTAAGTAGTTCCAACCATTGTGTTGCTGCACTATAGCATCTATAAAGAAAAGAATAAAAGTGAAGTTCAGTTAGATGTTGTATCACAGACTGAAATGTTTGAATCATACCACATAAAATTAATAAATACTCTCAAATTGCTATAATGTTAAGGGTTCTAGTTTTAAGACTCACAAAGAATACAAATCAGTTTTAAGACTCCTATTTAAAATATAAAGGCTTCTAGTTAGAAATCAGAATTATAATGTTAATTTCAGTTTGCTGGGAATGCAAAACTAGGCATGCAGCACATATAGTCATAAGTCATGCATACTGATCATAATAAAGCATGCAGAATTTTATAAATAGTTCAATGCACACTAACTATATAAGTATTACACATTGACTTTCATAGTTTCTTAGGACAGTAGCAGTCAATTTTAATCGTTGCTCTGTTTTTTATTTTTCTTTCTTTCTTTCACCTTGCCCCTTTAGAAATCAGAAAAGCAATAGTAATAATAGTAGTTTTAGCAGTAATGATACCAATAATAATGATGTCCTCTATTAGTCCTGTAATGTTACTTTTGTAAAATGTTAGTATGTATTTCTATAGTAGCATTTGTTATGATATTCCTTCACTGAAGTTGTTAGAGTTAACTAAATACTAGGTATTATGATTTGTTTGGCAGATGGTTCTATCTTTTCTAAGCTTATAAGAAGAATAAGTAGGTTCTGACTTAGTTATTTTGCTGAAAGAGATGTTTCCAAATGGTTTTCCTTTACAAAAAGAGGTTAATCATTTATACTATACCTTTATATGCTACATCTCAAAATACATTTTGCCTATATATATATTACAATAACTACTTCAAATCTGAGAGGTCAATTCAAAAGCGTGAAAGCGTACATGCGATGTGTTTTTCCTCCTTGTGTGAGTTCCTTTGTGGTTAGAAGAAGAGAGTAAAGAGAATAGGTGTGCTATAGCTTCCCCTAGAGTGGTGTATGTGAGTAGTGTGTAGAAAGACCTGAGCCGGAGACGGAATTCGATCCTTACAGTAGCAATGCTACTGAAATAGAGAGCTCTCATCAAATGTTCTTTATTTTCATTTTTTTAAGGATTTCCAATTTAGAATCAGATCCTTCCTAGTCTGGTTCATCTAACTTCAAGCCCAATTCTTTTTAAGATTAGAAATACCCTTTTCTACGTCTCTTTCTTCATCCTTTTGCAACAATTTCTTTTCTCTTTCTTCTATTTTTGAGACCTCTGTAAATTTCTGAATAGGAATAGGTAAGGGTATTCTGCCTAAAGATGGAATACTTAGAATACATACTATACTTCCAAAACTACAATTAATTTAAATAAAAAAATAGAATGTCTCATTGGGTACTTTTGAATGATCCACCTAATAAAATTATTTTTCTATAACTAGACTACTATATTTTCCCAAAACTACAATTAAATTAAATAAAAATGTAGAATGTGGTACAAAAAATGCCTTCTCATTTCTTTTATTAGACGGTGCTCATTAATTTGAGTTTCACTTAATAGTTGTGTTACGATCCAAATCCGTTAAGTCCATCACGAAAAAATAGGAATATGAACGAATCAAATAATTTTTATTTGATTGGTAATTCGAATATGAAAATGTGAATACAAATAAATAGAATAAGATTACGGATATAATCATATAAATCTATTTTTATCCAAACAGTTTTACAATAATTCAATACAAACACTACAGAGTATTATATTCAATTCGAATAATATTCTATTACATTCAAACTTTTAGGAATATATGTGTGTGTACACACACAAGATATATAAGAATGTACATATATTAGTTAGTTAATGTGTAATGCTATATACTATTCATCCATAGATTCCATCAAAAACAAGCATGGAAGAACTTCAGAAAGATTTTTCAATACTCATCAACCTCGCAACTGTAACTGGGATCTAGACTTGGCAACTTTCATCTCTTACATAGACCTTTAGCCTAAAATTCAAAAATAACACATTCTCAAAGTTAGATAAGGAAATATGAACATTATTTATTTCATGTGAATGATTGATGAAAGTCCCATGTACTTTAATTATACAATGTTGACCGCTACCAGATTTAACATGAAATATTGACGTCCAATACTCCAATAAACAAATTTTGCTCAATAATTGCTAGAAAGTTGAAAAATAGTACTACCTCCATCCCAAACAAATTTGACATTTCAACTTTTCTTGGTTATTAATGTCAAACTTTGGACAATTATTTTGATTATTGCATTTGTATATAATAAAAAATTACACTTCGCGAAAATATTTAATTATGGCACATTTTGATATAATTTACATATTCAAAATATATTATATTAAAACATATGGTAATTAATTTAAAAACCATGACCAAGAAAGTGAATTTAGCACTCTTTTCGAACTCTACATATAACGTTCATAATTTTAAGTTAGCAACATAACATCAGGAACCTATATTGCAATTTAAACTTTTCCCTATCATAGCATCATTCATGTATCCATTTAGGTACGCACTACGCAGTACCATGTATAAAACTAAAACAACAAAAACTTGAGTTCATCAAATTCCATTCATAAACCATCATAATAATGAAGACTAACGAGTAATAACAGTAAAAGTCTTGACCTTGTGATAGTCCTGTTTTTGGTCTGTTTTCTCTTCCTCTTCACACCTGTTGAAGTAGAGATCGGTTACGGGTAATGCCACGATCGTCGAGGCGGTAGAGGCTTCCAGGACAAACTTGAGAAGAAATTCCAATGAGGCCATCAACTCTGACCTGCTTCACTGAATTGCTCTCAATATCAACAACAAAAAAACCATCTTCATGCTCCAGAATAACCTGCTTTTTGTTCTTTAGGAAAGCCACCAGATTGAGTGACTCGAAACCGTGAAAGTGAAATGAGAGCAGTTTGTTCCAAGGAGAATCTACTTGGTATTCTTGCAACACCCATCCTTCAAATTGACACCCGGTGCTTGTTAAGTAACTGTAACTCAAAATTACTAATCCATTAATAGCATTCAGAGACATATAAGTTATCTCTTCGGATGAGGATTCGGGGGGAAGAGGTATATGGCTGTATTCTTCTGTCACAAGATCTAGAGTTATGATCATTTCACATGTATACCAATGCAATTTCCCATTCACACAAACCCCACTGTACCGACCAAGAATGCGGAAACAATCATAAGGACAATCCTTAATTCTCTTCCAAGAACCCAACTTTAAGCTGTAAAGAAGAGTTTTGCAAAATTTATCCATCCTAACAACTTTATAGTCATCAGAAACATGATCATAACCTAAACCCGAAGCCGAAAACGAAAAGCTAGAGCAATCGGGCAGGGGCAACCGATGGCAGTCTCGAGTTAACGGGTTCCAAACCGCCCATATCTTCTTAGTGTCATAAGTAGAAATAAGAACCAACCCATTGCACGAATTCACCGGAAGACGCTGTAAGCGGGGCACGTCACGACGAACCAATTGCTTCACGGGAATTGCTTCAACCATCTGGCCGTCTCCTTGTAAGTCATTAGTGAATTCTAGCGAGTCAAAGTCTAAGAGATGAAACCGTGAACTAGAGCTTCTGATAAGAAGAGTGCTTGAAAAGATTTGATTTTGTGTGTGGGATTTGACGAAAGATGGATCATCAATGAGGCGGCACCATTCCTTGCAAACACTCCTGAAGCGGAAAAGGGAATCGGCGGGCAGTTGAAGGAGTATTTGGCGGTAGATTTCAGATGGAATGTCTGACATTTTCAGAGCAATAAGAGTTCAGAATGGAGATGAGTTTTGGATTATAGTTTATAGTTTGATTAGTTTCAGAATATAGAAGAGAAAGACAGAGCCTTTAACCGCCCGCCAATTTTGTGATTTCGGATGGAACGTTGCCGCCAAAGGTTCCAATGAGAAAGGTGGCGACGGTTGGACTCCAGCACTTCTCACAATTCCTCTCTATTTTTTTTGTTGCTTCTCTATTTTAAAATACGGAGTATAGAATAACTATAACTATATTTCAAATATACTCCGTATCTTCTAAAAATATCTATGAAAATATGTACATACATACTACCGTCCCGTTGGAATGTTCTCGTTCGGTTTACAATGCTTGACTGACGATAAAGCAACTCGATCCCTGTTCACACTCCGCTTATTTTTAGTAAATAAATTTTACATATTCAGAAACTACATTAAAACCGCTACAAAGCCTGATCAAGAAAAGTTCAATTTGATAAAAAAAAATTGATATATAAAGTAAAAGATTAGGAGTGAGCTAAGTTGACCAATGAATAGTGAACGGGAACAATCCAACGGGAAAGAGGGAGTATATAATTATATACTTAGGACAAATTATTGTAACCGTTTTCCGCCTCTGATTATTTTAAGTGACACTGCATCAAGCCATCAACTATCACTGGTGAAGTAGTAATACTACATTAACCCCCCCCCCCCAAAAAAAAAAAAAAAAATATACCTACAGAGTACTACCTCCGTCCAAAAAATTGGTCAACTTGACTTTTCTTGATCAAAGATGTTAAAGTTTAGACAATAATTTTATGTATTATATTTGTGTCTAATTTATAAATTTTGTACTTTTATGAAAGATTTTTTTAATAAAGAATACGCTCATATAATTTTTATATTTTAAACAATTTTGTATTAAAAATATAATTGGTCAAACTTGACGATTATTGAGACATTGATCAATAAAATTCAAATTGGTCAATCTTTTTGGGACGAAGGGAGCATTTGAAATTTAGCGAAAATGGGATAAATGTTTTCGACTTAAAAACAAATCCATCTTTTTTAAGTCCATGAAAACGTGGCTTCTTTTAAAAGATCAGATTATTATTTTGATTTGGTCTTAGTTTTAAGATTAAATGAAAGATTTTATAATAGGAAAGTATGTTGGGATTTTTTTCAAAAATATTACTAAAATGTTTATACACATATGACTAATAGCTTTGGTTACTACAATCTAATCTCATGATAACTTAAAGTTTAAAACTTGAATATAAGTTAATATTATTTCATTACTACTCTAGTTACTAGTCAAATTTTCTTAAACAATTTTTATTTTAGTCATAAATATGTGATTATTTCAAGTATGTTCGTATTATTTAATTAAATATTTAAAAAATTATAAGAAATTCCCTGGATAGGATCAATACATTGTCAAAATTTCTAGTTAGAACTTTAAATTTATTATTCCTTAAAATAGGACTCCTAATTACACTTTTGTACTTTGTATAATTAAACTCCAAAAGTCGGACTCAATTACTCAACCCTCTCCATTGATTGCAGACTTGCATTCTCTCTCCATCGACCAGCATCAATGCAAGTGAGTTAGTTTTTTGCCTATGATTATCCCTTTTACCATAGTCCACAGCCGCTCTGTCATTGACCGCACACCTCACTTGTCTCTGGCGGTTCACATGTTCTGCGATTTCTCGTGAGAAATCAAGAAATTTCCTCCTCCTCCCCCTCCTCTTTCTATTTTTACTAATTTTCTATCCATGAGATTCAAAATCAAAATTTGAATCTGAAATTTTCATATATAGAGCCAGATTAATAAAGGAGTAGGGCTGAGCAAAACCCGAACCGACCCGCAAAACCCGAAGTTTTTTTCGGATAATATCCGAACCGAAATGGATATCCGACCCGAAAAACCCGAAACCGAAAATCCGATTAGTATTGGGCCTAGATCGGGTGGCGGGTAGGGTTTGTAAAATCCTAACCCGACCCGCCCGAATATCCGAAATATATTTAATAATTTACTATGTACTTTGAATATGTTAAATTAATACTTGTGTTCAATAATTTGTGTGATTATGTGAGCAAATTGTGTTAAATTATTTTTGTAATTTGAATGTGTACTTTGTGTAGTGCACTAGTGTGTACAATATTTGTCAAAGTGACATTCCAACACTTTAATTATCCAATTATAATGTGTTTTAATATAACCGAAATATTCGAAATATATTAAATTATGTAGTGTGTACTTTGAATATGCTAAATTAATACTTGTGTTCAATTATTTGTGTAATTATTTATGCAATTTGTATTAAATTATTTGCGTAATTTGAATGTTTAGTGTACTAGTTTGTAGATTTTTTTTATCAAAGTGGCATTCAAACACTTTAATTATCCAATTATATTTTTTTTAATATAACCGAAATGTCCGAAACCCGATCCGAAACCCGATAATATCCGACTTACAAATATCCGAAAAACCCGATTTGAAATGTCAAAGGGTCGGGCCTAGTATTTAACTTTAAAAACCCGAACGGGTTTAGGGTACGCAGACCCGACCCGTCCGAACCCGACCCGTGCTCAAATATATCTGGATTTGAATTTTTATTTATTCATCAATTTTGATTAATTTTGAATATGAGAATGTCTAACTATCATATTGAGGAAAATTTCACTATACTCTTCTAATCTGAGTATGTCATAATTATTGATTATTTAATAAATTGTTATTTTTATTGCAATACATTTATCAAGATGGCAATCTCACTTTGGAATTATAGTATTTGGAATGCCTTATATTTTTGACGTGTCTGTGAAATGATCTCATGTTTATTACACTAAATGTATGAAAATTAATATTTTTTTTTTTTTTTCTGACTTTGCATTTTTCATTTTCTTCTCATATTTCAGTTTTTCAATTGTGATGTGACAATTACTATGAAAATGGAAATCTTTATTTTTTATTCTAAAACTTCTATATTTTCACAATCTGAAAATGTTGTGTTTCTATACGAAAATATCATTATTATGTCATTATTCATATCAAGTGGCATTCTTGCTAATAAATGTTGACATGTTGTAGGGGCTTGCCGGAGAGTGGTGGTTTCGTCGGAGGGCGGCGGCGGCACCGAACTTAGCGAATGGCGGCAGTGGCGTGCTGGAGGGTTGTTGAGGCCTTGTGCGTGCACTTATTGCATAGCATCGTAGAGTTACGAACCCTACAGAGCCTAGGCATCAGCGGAGCTAAGGAGTGTTGGAGTCCGGGAACTTTTTTATTTTTTTCATTAAGAGTAATTTTTGTCATATTAGTACACTTGTAGTCCTATAAAATATAATAGTCATATTTTTGTAATTCTACTTTGTTTTAGTCCAACTTAGGGAATTATCTCTATATTTAAATATAATATATTTAATTATATATTGTTCTAATTGATTTTAAAGTGCTCATTATTTTTGAATTATGGATGATGTAAAATTTTTGGTTTAAATATATTTTTAGTTCATGCAAATATAATACATTTTGTTTTACATCGCTGCAAATTTATTTATTTATTTATTATCCCTTCAATTTATGTTGGTTTTCTTTTGAGTCCATCATGAATGATAACAATCTCTTATTAATCTCAAAATAACTTCGACTAATAGATTTCCTCTAATTTTTGTCATGTTAATAAAAAAGTATTTAATTTTATTTTTAGAAGGATTTTAATATATATTTTTACAATATGAATACTTTGTTTTACATTGTTTCAACTCTCATATAAGCCTAATTAAAAATATAAAAGGATAAATTTAAGTACTTCTAGTAGATTTATGCAACTTAAGATTACTTTTTCTTAAAATATAGTTTCGAAATTACAGATGGACCAATGTTAATTGGTGATGCTACAAATATTATTAATATATTTTAAAGAAAAAAGTGAAATTGTTGTGATTAAAAACATTATTCTTTTTTTCTTTTTTGAGAAAAGGGAAATTTATTGATTTTTTTTCAAAAACCCGCAGGTCTCTTGGGGTGGGGGCCAGGGAACACCCCACCAATTTATTGATAAAAGCGAAAAAGTACATGCGATAAAGAGAAAAAAAAAAGAAAAGCATTACAAAAAGGAAAAACAGAGGAAACCAAATCCAAAAAAATTTACCCGGTAAGCAAACCATCCATTCGTGGGATAAATGCCGGGAAACATTTACCGAGTTTTATTAAAAATAAAAGAAGTACAAAAAGAGAGAGGCACTAGATCAAAACCTTTCAAGATAAGGCATACATTCTCGAAGTACAATAGAGCAAAATAAAAGCTAAGGCAAGAGATATTAAAATTAATGAAAACCAAGAGCAGGTGAGGAAAATTAATCCCTGACCATGAGGAATGTCATATAAATCTAAATTAATGAGAGTGAGAACCGAATTGGAAACTTCACCCAAGGTGAAAGAAGTAAAATCTTGTAAGTTCAATCCTTCCTGAGCTAAGGTGGGCTACAATATTAACATTTCTGTAGGTGTGATATATCCGAACATCCAGAGAAGCTTGACTACCAAACCAGAGAGGTATACGCCCCTTGAAGCTCAACATGAACTCAAATTTCTCAGTCTTTATATACTTGAACTATATTAATAAATAACTTCCAATAGATATCTAAAATCAATTTAATGGGTAAAACCATTTTGTTTCCCCCCAAATTTTAATGATTTCTAAACTTCCACATTGTTCCTTCTTATGTTACATCACTTTCCTTTTTCCCCAAGCAGACCCTTAGCACTAAACTACTACCTTGGATATAATATATTAATATATGTAGTACTACGTACTGAATGTATGTGCCTATTAATTGACCTTGTACAAGAAGCTTCTACCCCAACCATACCCAATCCCTACAAGAATAATCTTTATATTAGCCCAAAGTGTTTATTGGAATTCAATCCAATGACGATCTGTTTGAAAGCTTGAGTGTAAGGTATTAATTTCTTCCGTCTCCGACTCAGGTCTCCAACCTTCTACACTAAACTCACACACACCACTCTAGACTAGGCCACTCCATCTCCCATGTTTACTCACTCTTCTTCACTCCACTAA